GACGCCTTATGTATGGTTGATTATATATGAACTTTCTATATAACTTGTTATAATGATCACTTAAAAATCAAACAACAAAGCAGATTCACTKGAAAGATAATAATTTCAAGACTTTTTCTAGTAAAAAGCAAAAAAGTGYGGWGTCCGGTTTTTGACGGGGATTGCACAGTCATTCCGAGCGCGCACTTTTAAACTATTCAATAGARACRGACAATARTTACGCACAGGTATTCTYCCATTAAAACTTATCAATATACAGTATTTCACTAAACAWCTTGATAGTTTATTCTCATAGTTTGACATCACAAAATGGGCTAGAYGTTTCGATCTGGRGCACTTTTTGGCGGGTTTTCAGTTTTGGCTTGGTACGCGCGCGTTTCACCGAGTTGATACTTTTTATTTGTTCTACCGCTTAGCTATTTTATCCAAATCCTTACCTATGTTTTTATAATCTTTCTGATTGAAGGTCAAACTACTTGCATGTAAATCATTTTAGGTGAGTAGATCTTAGGTCACAGCCCAAATTTAGAAACGCCATCATTATACTATGTTGCCATATACTAGTCACTATGTATTTTAATTTTTTCGACCAAAACATTTCTTTAATTTTATATTCAGTAAACAGAAATCATAATATTGGAGCCGCTATGATTGACGAAGATATATTGTTTATTGAGCTCGAAGCTGCTGTGAAGAAAGAATTCGAGGCAAATTTACCAAATGGCTGGATACTGAGCCAATCGAAAAACCATGGCAGAATGTACTATTTCAATAAAGCTACGGGCGAAAGCCGCTGGTTTCACCCTCTAATACCAAATGACGAGARCAAGGTCAGTACTAAAGTKGACACTGAGAAATTTCACTTAAAAATATAATATTTTTAATCCGTGCAAGTTAAGAGAATATTTCTCTTGGTGCCAATATATTTAATTATGTATCCTGTGCGTTTTTATTAACGATTTAAAGCATGAATGACCGTGTACTCATCCTTAAAAGTTTACACCTTTACATAATCTTAAAGTTACTGATAATATTTCACAAAATACCATTCAAATAAACAAAGATCGCAGAGGCTTTCAAAGAATTGTTGTGGCACGCGCAGCAAATATCACGCTCGGTTGTCACGCAACACTAAACACGTGACGTCACGGCCATATGATCTCACCGGTTCAAAGCCTTGTGTAGAGGTTTTCGCGCTAAAACTACGAGCTGCTTCGTTGTTATATTGATATTACCATGTGGATTAAGCGTRTATCGTGCAAGGAATGAACATTTCCTGGAAGAATTAATAGGAAATTTACCATGCCAGTCAAGGTTAGTTGGTTGTTTTTGAAAAGAACGTTTGATCAAGCGAGAAAGGTTTTGAAAAATGTCGTAATAGCTTTCCGATTTTGTTTTGATTTGTCTTCAAAACACTTCTGTTTTTTGGCTTACGAATAACTCTATCTTTTGGCTTCGTCYYACTCTTGATTACATACTGTAAACTACACTAATCGCTCGTGAAATTGCTACCCATTGAATAGAAATCCTATTGAATTTAACAGGTACGTTTATTGAACAAGTCGTTTGGCCTTTACAACGTGTGAAATGATTCTTGGTCGCTGTAAACAAGAACTTGACTTCCTGGATACATCGCAAGACCTCTAGAACTTGCAATTAATATTCTGCTTCCTTTATAAACAATTTTTTAAGCTCAAAACGTTTCTATRGTGTGAAGGATTTATTTATTTTGGTGTATTTTTTTKTTGTTTTCTACAGGAAAAGGAGCCTGACGTTGAGTTTTGTGGGAGTGATTTCATCATGCCAACTCGTGAGAAGCCTATTACTCACCCTGCAGCAGATCCAATCGTATGCAGTAAAGTACGTAGGAACTCCATAGGAACACRTTAGAAATCCGCTTTAATTTATTGAAATTTAATAGCGATAAGTCAAGTGGCTGTAACACTTCGAATACAGTATAAAAACTTAAGCTTTAAAAATTATATTATGTCCAATGCAAATTGTACTTTCGGGCTAAAAAGTCTTAACTTTACTAGTTTTCAAAATATCACATTTATTAGATTTTTTTTCTTTTTTTTTTTTGAGAAATTTTTTTTTCATTGAGCTTTCTGTTCATTCAGAATTTCATGTTTAATTCAAAAGATGGCAATATTGATTGAGCTACTTATTAAGTTATACGCCTAATATGTCCCTTAGAACTTGTATGTCAATTCTATATTCAGCTATCTCTTTTTCATTCCACGCATATTTCCGGGTTTGAATCACTTCATTGTGATTTGATTTGAAAGTCTGTAGGGCATGGGACATATTATGACATGTGTTCTATGAAGCCCAGCTGAGATGGCTAAGACAAAAGACTTGAAGTTTATAGCAATATTGTGAATCAACTTGAGGGTGTCACAATTGATACTAGACTAACACCTGGAATGTTGTTTTTCTATCAGTGTAACAATTGATTCATAGTGCCTATAACACTTTGCTAAATANATAAATTGTTTTAAGGATATTTCAATTTGTTTTCATTATTTGACCGATTAGTATGTTTATACTAAAACAATTAGACCTCTCGGCCTCGTGGAATACAAGCTAATAGCTAATTCGGCCTCACGGACTCGGCCTCATGGGCTATTAGCTCGTAGTCCACTCGACCTCGAGGTCTAATTTATAAATAGTTCACGGGACCATGGTCCACGTTTTTAGTGGACCATTTAGCGCCACGTGCTTATTACTACATGCATGACTGTATAGATTTCAGTATATTGTCCTCTCTTCCAGCTGAATCACGGATCTGATATCAGCATACGAGACAAGTTGGGAAGATTAGCTTTGGACTGCGTGCCCAATGGTGAGTGAATGTAGGAGGAAAGCCCTAAAAGACCAAGAAATAAGGAAAAAACACTAAAACTCTTGGTATACTGCTTAAATGCGATGCAATCTACACTTTATTATTGAAAGAATGGTCTTTCAAAACATATTCTCGTATTGTCAGAATATTAAAACTTTGAATGAGATCTTGAATTAAAAAGTACTTAAAAACTACTGGAAGTTTGTGATGAAATATTGGCATTAACCCGGTGTCTTGCACATTTTGCGTTGATATATAAGTGAATGGACTTTATAGCAGTGTTTTTTTTTTTTGTTTTTTTTTTTTTCGCCACTTTCTTGTATGGTCACCTTATGAGACCTCAAAATATACTCAATGACGTCAATATTTCATATTACAATAGAAAATTTGCATGATGGCGTCATATGCTATAAACACCAGAATGCTTTGCCAACTTTCTATTGTAATGTCATTTATCCCAATTATTTTACCAATCCACAAAGGGATTTGAAAAAATCTGAATCAAACCATGAAAATGCGCAAAACTTTCTGGTAGTTGTACTAAGGTTTTAAAGCCATAATGCGCATGTCCTATATAAGCAATGTTTAGAGATTTTCTCAGTATATAGAACGAGGCATGATGGGAGTTAAAGTCCACGCACGTTTTATAAGCAGTCTCCTTAAAAGCAGTTTTTTTTAAGTTTTCTTAAAAAGAAAGTGACGGCACAAGTTTTTCTATTTCTGTAAAAAAAAAGAAAATAATAACTCAGGGGGACTGTTACAACTCCCATCATGCTTTGCTACACACAGTGGCGTCGCTGGACATTGTTTATTGATTTTCTTGTAATGATGATTCATGTTGTTTTTCTTTGATATTAATGAAGTCGCTGTGTATGAAGTAGAATCTGAGTCCGCAATCTCAGCATCCACACTGATGCAGCTGCTAACTGAGGCTGAACCCCCCGCAAAGTCACCTCGTGAACAACAGGTACACTGTACTGTACAGACATTTTGATTTAAAGACAATTTCACGTATCTTCGTACTTTCTTCATTAGCTCAATGTTTGATTCATAAGATGGCTTCTGTTTCACATCAGGGTTAAGTTGCACGTTACGCGACGGTTAAAGTTTGGTTTCGTTGGCGACCGGTTAAAGTTTTCCCTCCTTAGTTTTTGTATGGACTTTTTGTCCGCTAAATAACGAATTATCCTATCATGAGCCTTCGTTCAACCATGTCCCTCTACTAACTTTGGTCACATGCAAGAGGTCTATTTAACAATTAGCCCTCGAGGTCGAGTGGACTACGAGCTAATAGCCCATGAGGCCRAGTCCGCGAGGCCGAATGGGTTATTAGCTCGTAGTCCACGAGGCCGAGAGGTCTAATTGTTTTAGTATAAACATACTAATCGGTCAAATAATGAAAACAAATTGAAATATCCTTAAAATAATTTATTAATGAGATGCCGCCATTTTGATTTTCCCGCGAGTGGTCTATCACAAATTAGACCATTAGTAGAGTAGCCAATCACAGCGCAGTATGAGTGATAGACCATTAGTAGAGTAGCCAATCACAGCGCAGTATGAGTGATAGACCATTAGTATGTTTATACTAATAGCGAATAGACTTTGTGTACCATGAACCACTCGGCGCACTCSCTTCACAAGTTATCACACGTTTTAATSTCGCTATATTTTGTGTTGTTTAATTACAGAATTCAGACATAGCAGCATCTTTAGCAGCGTTGGGAATCCAACTAGGAGACAGAGTTTTAGTTGGTGGAACAAAGGTTTGTATATTCTTCTATTGATTACAGTGAAATTCCGCGCCTTAAAGGGACACTGTCAATGGATAACATGCGAGGTAACAGTCTCACCTCTAACGGACTTTGAAAGTATTACCTTCGAGGTAAATCATTTTGTGGTGCTTTTGACACACTTTGGAATATTCTAGACCTGTTTACGTTTACGAGCTGATTTATATCGCGTCAACTTGGAGTCATAAACTTGAAAACACTAGCCTAATGTTTTCAAGTTTACTCGCGCATGCGTGCCATTGACAGTGTCCCTTTAAGTCCACTCTGTTATAACGACCATATTTATATCCGGCGAATTAAATCCTCAGATATTTCCGTTCGATGAAAGCGGTGTCCCCTGATTCGGCCGCTTTTCGATGTCCCATCGGTAGACGGAATAAGGAGGTTCCGCTGTACATTATAAAATATCTTATTATCTATTTCAAAAAAGGTTGTCGGATAAAATGGCGAATGTAAATTGTCAAACGAAGATTGCACGACAAAAAGTAGCCATGGGTTTKGMTAATTTTTGAGAAATAACAGCTGATTTGTACTGTTTGTACTGGCTCTATTTAGTCTCCATTTTCATGAAAGATTAATCCAATAAGAGAAATTTTGTTTGTCAAAAAAGTGTAACCATAGTCCTTTTCGGTCGTGCAATCTCCCTTCGACAATCGCCGACAAAGTTTTTTGAAATGGGTATATATATTGTACAGTATGATGATTTACTTCGCTAGGATCTTTAATTCTGACCGTTGTAACGGGGTGGCGCTATTAAACGGGTTGGGCTCCATTGATTTTGACTCGGCAGTCATGCAGTCCCTTTTAATTTCCAGCAAGATTCCAAATTTGTTTTCTGCCTGATGTTTCTGTCTCAAATATAATGTTCTATCTGTGTAGGATGGTATATTACGTTATTGTGGATTGACCGAGTTTGCCTCAGGGGAGTGGGCAGGGGTAGAGTTGCACGAACCAGTTGGCAAGAATGATGGGTCTGTTTCAGGGGTGGAGTACTTCCATTGCCAACCAAATCATGGTAAATACTTAACTTGTTATATCAGTTTTGTTCTGTTAGAGCATTATATAATTTAAGGGGCAGTACGTTACTCACCCCACCCCCTATTGATCAATCAACTATGTAGAGGACGAGAAGCAATTTCCTCTGCACAGTCCATTGTATTCAAACCTAAGAGAGAAAAATGTTCTTGAACTCAGGAAAAAAAGCACTAATTTTATTAGTATTACATGTAATGAAAACGATTTGTGTCTGCTACTGATGAATCCACCAAAACCATCACAAGTGGTAAGTAACTGCTTTGAAAAGCGTCTAGAAAGCAAAGAAAACAAATAGAATCACCGTTATCATAGTAATTATTTAGGTGATGACAATGTACCTCCAGTCGGTACAAAGCACCAAATAAAATCTTTAAATCTAGCCAACTTTAGATATTTTGGTTCGATTACTATGTACAAAAGAACCCACACGATGAAAACAATGGATAATCTTGGTTTATTTTTTTTTTATTTCCCCGGAGCCTCGTCTGCAATTCTTTTGTGCATGGTCACTGAACCAAAATATCTAAAGTCGGCTAATTAAAGTCTTTTTTTTTTTTAATTAAAGTATGCTAAGCACAATTGCCTACACCTAACTATAATCGAGTGAGCAAAGAAATACGAACTCCCCCCCCCCCTAAATTATCTAATGGTCCATCCTTATTTATCCTGCGCATGCGTCTTATCTCTCTTACAGGTATATTTGCTCCAATATCGAAGATTTCTAAAGACGAGTGCCCTCCAGGCTCCCGGTCGAGKTCTCTTCCAGTATCGACCGCGCGTATTCCYCAGGTTCATCAGCCAAATGGTACGTCATTACCAGGATCAAAGACAACATCTCGAACTACGTCACGTTCAACGTCACCTTCGTCTCAACATGATGTTGACGAAGCTGAGATTGCTGGGAAGTTTGAGGTAACTGGTGGCTTACACAAGTCTTTCTCTTCATGTCCGTGTTCCTTTTTGCCTTCAACTTAATTGTGTTCTTCAGGAGTATAGCCTATTATTAAAATTCCATTACAGGTTGGAAAAGGGTCGTTCCTAGACGAGAAAACAATAGAATAAACAATCAATTTTAAGCCAATATCAAGGGCTTCAGAATTTGGGAAGTGATCTCTCCCCTCGCAGCTCCTTTCTCGCCCTCAACTTTCATGACTTTCAAGTGCATAGCGAGGGACACAGACCCCCTACTATGCTTGCTACTGGTGTGACAGTCATTATTTTACCATCCTCTTTTCTTCTGTCACGCTTAAAAAGCCGGCTGCGTTACATCCGGTTTTATTTGCCAAATAAAACTGGATGTAACGCAGGCTACGCTTTGATTTGATGCGTGATTTTGTCGTTATTTTCATTATCGCGCCAGCTGTTATCTTATACATATAATATGCCTAATAACTAATCACGGCGTAATCGTGAATTTCGAATAATTTGTCAGTGAATATCCAGGGAACAAAAGCACGCATCGCTTAATGGAATAGTTCCGAAAACTTGCTTTTTGCTGATGATTTTGCGTTTCCTTCTTTGAAATATTGTTTGAAAGCTTCCATGTGTTATGTTTTTGCCGGTGTATGAATTTTTTGAAATAACACTCATCTTTTGCTTTCGCTTTTGAAATATTAAATGAAATATTTTGAAACATTTCTTGTTTTGAGCACACTGGATATAGTTCCCATAGTTCCTTACTGATTCAACACTGAAATACCGTCCTGTCTTTTTACTTTCCTTTGATGTATGTAAAGTTAGATTTCAATTAATGGTTTGCTATTCCTTGTAGTTGGGAGATCGTGTTGTTGTGGCAGGGCAAAAAACAGGTCACGTTCAATACATCGGACAAACACAGTTCGCGCCTGGGTAAGTTTATTGCTAATTTGTAACTTTTTCCATGCACTTTCAAAGCTCCCATCAAAACCAGGAGCCTATTAGTAATGGCTTCTGTCAAAACTCAATATTTCATTTTCGAATTCAAGCGAAAAACCGCTACTTTATTTGACAACAGATTCTCGTCTTGCGCAAAGACAAGAGAGCACGAGAAAATGTCGTTATTACAATAGCCTTGAAAACTTCATTTTCTCCGAGTTGAGACTACCCCTGCATTCCCAAAAGGCCTAGGGTTAAAAGTCTTCTTAAAAGACTTCTGGGAATACAGGGTTAGCCTCAACGCGKCGWMATTCATMAGATATTTTGTAATTCAGGTTTTGGCTTGGCGTGGAACTTGACCAACCTGTTGGTAAAAATGACGGATCAGTCGGTGGAGTGAGATATTTTACATGTAAACCTCGATTTGGTGTCTTTGCTCCTGTAACTAAAGTGAAAAAGTAAGAAATGAAATGCACACATTCAAGAACCTTTTCGAGATTTCGAGTTTTCAGTGAAGGAACGGTAAAACGAGCAGCAAAATCGTACAACTTGTCTCGCAAGGCATTGCTGTAAGGCAAGTTGGAAAGCGATGTTGCGCGTTTTAATTAAAGGACGGTAATACGAGCAGGGAAATCGTACAACTTGTTGCGCGTTTTACTAGCGGCGAACCAACTTTTTTTCGCTGCAAAACTGATTTTTGTTGCAAGTTGAAAATGTTTGCTGCAGGAAGTAAAAGATGATTCTACTTTTTGCAACAAAACTCGAAAATTGCAGCTAGGAAGGGTATGCATGCAAAAGCTCGTTTATTACAACGCACTGAGGAAGGTCAGAGTTCTGACCGAAACATATCTGCGTTTTTTTATTACTAATGAAAAAAATCTTAGGCTAGTGACGAATATTTTTATTCAGTTTTTGATAAAACTCGAAGGTTTGCCGTTATTACTATAACAACCCAGCTTGTCTTGCAGCAATTTTGCTAGACAAGTCGTACGATTTTCCTGCTCGTATTACGGCACCGTACCTTAAGATAAATCACTTTGGTATATTGTCTATATCTTATATATGACTTACAACTCATGAGCGTATAGTGTGTGATTTTGGCGTTTTTGAGTGTTCTTCCAACATCCTCAACTACATTATTCCATCCTTACACAATTCACGGCAATAATCCAGTTTCGAATTCCCCAATGCTCTGTGTTAGCCTCATTTATGCGCAAAATATTCGTAATTGTGAGAATAAAAGTGTGACTGAGATTTCATATCAATTCTATTGTCTTTCTTTTCAAATTCCATGCGTTTTCACAGGCTATCAATAAAACAAAAGAATATGTTACTTGGTTTTAAGGCTAACACAGAGCAAACCAGAACTCGAAATTGGAGTATTCATCTTTCCTTTTNATCAACTTGAGGGTGTCACAATTGATACTAGACTAACACCTGGAATGTTGTTTTTCTATCAGTGTAACAATTGATTCATAGTGCCTATAACACTTTGCTAAATACATCGAAAAAAACATAGCAAAGTGAATCAAACAAGTGAAAAAAGTAACATAACATTACATCATGGCTTTGGTAGTATAAATTGCCAGTTTTAAATACGGTTTACTTCCTTAGAACATGTGCTGTGATTGGGTAAAGAGCACAATAGATTTGGTTTATTGTCTGGATTTTCAATCAATCTCAATCTTTTGTTTTGGTTTTGTTTTTGTTTTCAAATGTTACCATTTGTTTCAAGGGTCCTTTTACTTAATAACAGTTAGGGGGCATCTCTTGTTTTCTTTTTAGCCCCGCTTTAGTTACCTAGGGCAACTTTGAGGAAGACCAATTTTTAAAATCAAAATTAATGATGATCAGATCATTAAATACTGTCTGATGAGTGCATAGCACGAAACTCGGAGCAAAATTTTGCCTCTTTGATATTATATATAACTACAGTGTAGCTCGACACTATATGTGTATTGAGCACTCATGGGATCAGCCACTTCCTCATATGATTATTTTGACTTCTATACTGCTTTTCTCTCCTCACAGTGTCGTCAACTAGAACTCACCTTTTTTGATCCAAATTGTCCTGGCTGCCTTGATCTGTTACTTGAGTAAGTTTAAAAAGAAAGAGAGAATATAAATTTTTTATTAGCAAAGTAACTTACAAAAATAAACAATAAAGACAATAGAGTGGATTTTGTATGACTGTGCACAAATCACTCCACTTTTACGAGTGTTGTGTCTTTACCGTCACGGCTTGACAGTGATGTATTCTTGGTTCCTTGTTTTTATTTGGATCACTATAACCAGGCGAGGTTCCATGGTTCCGAGAGGCCATGTCCATATCGTGATCCATGCCTTTGCATGCACAGTCATACGAAATCCGCTCATAACAGCTCAAACCTCTGGTAAGAGGACTTGTGTAATATATTGTTTCTAAAAGACTATTCTTTTATAACTTTGCGTGAGCACTTTCAAGAATATTGAAAAGAAAACAAGGAATAGCATAGTGACTTCAGCCTCTTTCAGAGGCACTAGCCACAAAAAATAATATAGTAAATAATAATGATGACGACGATGATGATGATGATGATGATGCAGGTTTTAAAGCTTCCTTTGTTTTTTGACTCCATTAATCACCTCGTATTTCCACGCTGCAATATTCAGGGATTCTGGAATTATGTGCCCATTGCGGACCCGCATAATTGGCCATTCTCTGCATAATCCCATATGATTTGTAAAAAAATTAATTATGCTATATAGCTTTGATTTTCTCTTTTTTTAACAAAACAATGACACCGATACGTGTGGCACCATTTTGTTTTTTATAGCGTATAATTTTGCCCATCCACATTATTTTCTGCATGATATTCCCTGAAAATCCCACATAATTTTGATTTTTTTTTGCGTATAATGCCAGCATCCCTGAATACTTTGAAAGTGACCACACATCGCTCTCAGTAATACATGTAGTCTGTTGAGATTTTGCATCTACACGTAGTAAGATACCTTATCAGTGAATGCTAGAAGCCTCCCGATGATCACTATGTTTAAAAGTATCCATTTTTGCAGGCCAAAAACTACAATTCCTCAACTGTTTGCAATAATGAGACAATGGGTACCCCAAGTACAGCAGAATATTGGACTACTGGTTAAAGAGGTACCACCATGATTATTTCATAATATATTTTAGCTCAATTCTAACACTTGCGCTAATTGGCGGGTTTCATGAGAATAGCTATTAATGGTATTCTCGGTTCGCACATGACGTCATCAGNGATGATCACTATGTTTAAAAGTATCCATTTTTGCAGGCCAAAAACTACAATTCCTCAACTGTTTGCAATAATGAGACAATGGGTACCCCAAGTACAGCAGAATATTGGACTACTGGTTAAAGAGGTACCACCATGATTATTTCATAGATATATTTTAGCTCAATTCTAACACTTGCGCTAATTGGCGGATTTCATGAGAAAAGCTATTAATGGTATATTTTGGTAAATTTGCCTGCTGTCTTGAAAGACTTTTGAGTCTCCCAACCATCCCACACAGTTTATTTTGCCTGTAAACTGCTTCAAGCTACCGTTTATTGCTTAAAGATACAGTCAGTTTTGCTATCCATGTACATGCACATTCAACATGATCATAAAATAAAATGTGACAATACTCCAGTTTACAGTTTCAAGCACCATCTAGAAATGTAACCAAGACTTGGCATCAAAGCTAGACAGGAGTTGAGCCTGTAAAGTKATAGATACCTTTTGTTCACATATAAGACAATTATTCACTCAATAGGTATCTGAGTATCGATATGCAGTTATCTGAGTATCATTGCAAGCTCAACTTCTGTCTCACTTTGAC